TTTCTCCAAAATTCTTTTACTACCCAGGAAGTAAATAGCTTTATCTATCACTAGCTGAACAAATCGCAGGTCCTCACTTTTGTGCTAATTCTAATAAAAATTAAAAATTAAAAGACTGATATACTCTTTACCCAATAACCAATCACAGGGTAATAGGGTCGCTATGAGTCGGAATCAACTCAGTGGCAATGGGGTTTTTTATTAGAATTAGTACAAAAGTGAGGACCTGTGATTTGTTCAGCTGGTGATCGATAAAGCTGTTCACTTACTGGGCAGTATCAGTCTTTTAAAAGAATTCTGGAGAAAAGATTTAGAGGTGGAGATTGACTTGGTGGAGGAAAATTACAATGCTGATGGACACGTCTTTCCTTGTTCCCAACCCCAACCTAATAGTCTCATTAAATCAGGCTTGGGATTCAAGAGAATATCAAGGACTTTTTTGGAATACTGAGATAAAGTACCAAAGACCACCACAAAATTTGTCTAACTCTCTTAGGCAGTATGTGCAATTTTTAGGTTAATCCTTGAAAGCAAGTTCAAACACACACAACTAACACACAAAATTAATTTATAATGTGCCTCTTACTTCAGAATACCAAGACATTATTTAAATGGTAAGCTTTGATGAGTATTTAGTATTTTATAAGGTTTAAATAGAAACATATATAAACACCTTACTCGAAGTCAAGAAAACAGTGGGACTGTAAATACATGTTATTCAGAACTTTTAACAGCCTCTGATACAGGCACATCAGCTAAGTGGCTTAAGTTGCTTATGATGGAGCTACGGAAATGGGTTCGTTCAACCCACAGTTACCTTGAATTTCGTCGTATTTTCCTGGCTGATGAGTGGCAGTGGGGAATAATCCCTAGGTACTACACGACATGAGAAAGCACAAGATTGAGAGTCAGATCTGGGGCTCCGATACAGATGTTTTTCTAACTTTTCAGCTACATGACCTTGAGTAAGTCATTTAACTGCAGGAACTCTTCAGGGATTTTGTAAGACTCCAATGAGGTACTGATGTGAAGAAGTTCTCTGCAAACCAACCGTCTCATGTTTCAGTATACGGAAAATCCCACCTTAGTGCAGAGGGAACGCTCTAGCTGTGGCCTTTGCTTTTCACAGTTAGACTCACGAATCCCCACTGAAGAAAGACCATCATCTACCTACAGCATAATTAACCTTTACAGAAAGGCCTTTAGAATGGAGTCTCATATATTTTTTAATGTGTTTGAGACACGAATAGAAATTTAATAATTTTTCCTAGTTCTTATAATAAAAGCTAACACGTACAAAGCACTTACTGTGTGCTAGGCACCGCTGTCAGCACTGTGCATAAATAAGCTCATATAATCCATGCAGCATCTCAGGTTAGCGCTATGGTTATGTCCATTTTACAGATGTGGAAACCAGGGGCAGAGAGTAGAGAAGGATCCACAATCAATGATGATCCCAGCCAGCATTTTATCCATACTCACTGCATTCATCCGTATTCACAGCACTCTACATAATTTTTCTGTTTTCTCTGATTCCCATAAATCAGACCCCTGTAGTGGTTACTACAGAATACTAACGTACTTTCCTGTACTTTGTGGGTGAGAAGGAATGCCAGACTCAGATAATTCTCGAACCTGGGATAATGAAACACAGCCTAATGAACCGTTACACTGTACTGGCAGAATATGCCAAGTCTACAGCCACGTATTAAAACTGGAAAGATGAGGCTACCCAATTTCCAAAGTGTGGGAGGTGAGCTGCAAACTGCATCTGAACACCTGCCTGGGGCACCAACTCACTGCAACTCTTGAGAACTAGTTACTGCAGGGGCATGCCGAACATTTCCCAGATTCCCAGTCACACTGCCTTCGGGCTAGCTTTGGCTTCGGCCATCCAAAGGTGTGGTCAGGACATGAATTTGGAATCAATCATCTTTCTAGCACTTTGTGCTTTTTCTCCTGCCTCAAAATAGTTTGTTCTGTGTTCCGTTCCTTTAAGGTTTGCTAGGAGACTGAGAGTTTGAGAAACACCTAGAGGTGGTAACTCTGTGTATTATTTTGCACTATACATTAGCGTCTCCAACACTTTAGCCCTCAACAGGGGTGACTAATTTGGGAATTTAAAAAGCACAACGGTGGCTCACTGGAAGCTATTTTGCAGATGGTCCTTTTATTATGCCACACAGGCAGCTTGCCTCCATGTCGAGCCAGCCAAGGCCAGCACCTTGGGTGGCTTTAAATGGAACCCAGTGGCTGGAAGTTTTAGTGGCAACAAGTTATTTCAAGTGCACCATGAGGCTAAGCTTCCAAGAGTTCGCCTAAGCAGTAGGGGTCATAGCAACATATTAATTCATTTGAGGCACAATGGTCAAAAACTTTAATTAACTGAAAAGTACCCATGCAGGAGGGAGATTAACTTCAACTCTTAAGGTTTTCTTTAAAAATAGGAGCAGACTTAAAGCCCTGGGTAGGGCACTAATCCAATTAATGAAGGCATCAAACACTGCCATGAATCTTATGTTGTTTTACATAATTATCTGAAGGGCTCAGAATGAAAGAAATGTAAAAAGAAATAACAGTGCTGTGTAATGAACGCCCTTCTGACATGTGGCTTCTCTGCGCCTTTTTTTGTTTTCATTTCTCTTGTTAAATTTTCAGCAGACACTTCTTTCAATACCACCACCACCAAAAATGTCTCCATGACTCAAGACAGTAATTAATTCACTTGGAAAGGAAACACACCTACAACTTGATTAATAACCAACTGTTTTTTTTTAATTAGAGCATATACATTTGTGAAAACTGTACATTATACATTTTGGTTTCAAGGATTATAAATAAAGGAACTCACAGGTAGGGAGTTCTTTTTTCACAGCAAGAAACTTTAAATAAACAAAGTCATGTTTTATTAAGTCCATCGGCAGACTTCGTGTGCTGTCCAAAATGTAGCGTACAGTGTAACAAGCCATTAGAAAGAGCCTTTCATGTAAAATACAGCTGTGCACATTTTAGAAAAATACCAACGATTTGAGCTTTGTTTTAAAAAAGCTTATAAATCATACATATATTTATAAATGGAACCAACATGCTCACCTTATAAACATACCCTTTAGTTATCTGTTACCCATTATTTCCAAAGCAATACGTATTTTAATAAACACTTAATAAGAGTAAATATTTTATTTTTTTTAAAAAAATCAGCTCTCCCAGCATAAGGGGCTATGGGTCAGGAGGGAGCAGTGAGAGTATGGAGACCGACCGGAACTTCAATGTTTGTTCTTGGGTAAAAATGGACTTCCTAAATTTAAAAGTCAAAGCAAAATGTAAAAAAGAAATAAATATACAGGTTGTAAATGTCATGTGCTCTCTCTCTCTGCTTTCTTCTTTATTCCATATTGGTCACACCCAGGATTCTCAATACATTGTACTGCTACAAAAGACACCGCCAGGTGACCACCCAGCAGGTGACGAAGCATTCAGTCCCTGCCTCTGCTAACCTAGGAACTGTTTTTTCTGCATTGAAAAGCTGGCTCATAACCTAGAAAGAATCTCTGATGAAGCCATGCAAATCTCAAATGTAGTCAGGAATAGCTCCCCCTCTGCAATGTAGTGTTTTAAAGAGACTTAATAAGACACCTTTACTCCCCTGATTCCTTTTTAACTAATTACTTTTATACTGACCATATAGTTTCTCTAAGTAAGCATGCTTCTGAGTAATAAAGAATAAATTATAAAACAGCAAAAATCAGATTATGTCAGAATAACAAAGGACTTCAAAAGACAAATATTCAAAATAAAAATGTCTAAGCCTTTAAAATTACAAATGGACTTTGAAAAACACGGAAGGCAAATAATCGAGAAGCAGTGATTCCACAAGGCTTTATGCTCTAGCTGTATGTATTCAACAAAAATTGAAGTGGGGGGCGGGGGGAGAAAGAGAGCAGTTATTAATAGCATCTTGCTTAACTCTCATGGGAATTAACACAGCCACTGGCAAGATTTTATTTGGTTGTAAAGTACGTCAGCAATGAAACTGAATCCTTTAAATGCTGATTACAGCAATCCATGCACAATTTTGACTGTATTTCTTAGAATTCTGTTGTCTTTCCACTTTTAAAATTTAGCACCTCCTAAGTGTATAACTGGAAACTCTGGTAGCGTAGTGGTTAAATGCTACGGCTGCTAACCAAAAGGTTGGCAGTTTGAATTCACCAGGTGCTCCTTGGAAACTATGGGGCAGTTCTACTCTGTCCTATAGCGTCGCTATGAGTCGGAATAGACTTGACGGCAATGGTTTTTTTTTTTAAAAAGCGTATAACTAACTCACCTCGGTCGTGTTAAAAATATTTAAAAATTAAATTATTCCTTAGGAAGATACAATGCTTTCAAATTGCTAAATTTTAAAGATAAACAGCCTTTTACAGATTTAGGACGAATACATGACGTGGAAAATGACGTATTTGTATCAAAACAAACACATTTTCACTAGCATTTTCTTGTTTCTTTTCCTTGAGAGGCAACAAGTGTGCTTTGTCTGGCCAGGAGTGCGTGTCATATGCGACCCGACATCATCTTTAAATAAACAGCAAAAATGAACACAGTCGTGCACAAGCAAAGGAAGCGCTCTCTCCCAGAACATTCCAAGAGACATTAAAGCAGCAGGTCATGGCATAAGACTGGTGAGTGATGCTGCTACCTATTTCTTCTACTGAGACAGGAGTGAATGTCGAAACCGCTTCCACAGGGACACAATCCCGCGACCACATTCCTCGGGCAGTCGATTCCCAGCTCCCTACTAAAAACGTCAGACGGGAAAACAGTTAAGGCAGCTGTTGACTTTCATCAAAGAAAAAAAAAATGCAGCTCCATACATCTCCAGTTTAGTCACACTCTGCTGGGACAGATGGAGTCGTCAATGCCAAGAACTTCACCGGATGGGGCTGCTTCGGTAGATTTTAAAAAAGAAGTATTATTAAGTTTTGCTCTCCAACATGGCTGCTTGCTTCAGCCCTCAGAGGACCCCAAAGCCACAAACACTCCCAGGGGGACTGAACAGGTCCTCTGGCTGAATTTTCCAAGTTCCATCTCTCTCGCGATCCCATCCTAATTCCAAGCCTCCTTCCCTGGGTCTGAGTCTGACTGAGGTGTGTCACCTAAAGGGCGGATGACAACACTGAAGAGAACTGTGGGCTAACATCACTAGTTGTCAGGACTTCACTGAAGGGTCAAAACGGTTATATCATTAAGTAACTATGCTGAATCACATTCAGGCACAGCCAAAATTAAAGCGAAGTCATAAAAAAAAATTACAAATTTGAATACGAGAAAACATTCTATTATGATTTTATAAAGGAATTAAGGCTCTTCTCTTACCTTTCCTAATTCCAATCAAGTTAGAAAGTGAACAAAAAGAATGGCTAACCCAATATTCAACAGCATGACCAGGACAATCATGACCGAATTAGGGCCCTGGAAAGAAAGAGAATAGAACAAGTGAAGCTTTTCCATGTTAATATCAACGTATAAATCTGTTCACCAAGCCGACTGCCAACGTATACAAACAACCCGAAGTGGTGGAGTAAACAAGGTGTGAATACTGACAGCAAGTCCGAAAGGTATAAAGTAAAAATAGCAATGCTGCATTTATTTATTTTTTCCCAACGCTATATTTAGACGGAGCCATTACTAACCTTCCCATTAGAAATGAATCTAGTATTGACTGAGTCTAAAAACGATTCTTTAACAAATTTATTCATCTCACAACATAAGATGCCAGTACGGGGGGAGACAAAGTTCACTGAAACCGGGGGCTCAGGACCAACGGGCACTGGATTGGTCCCCATCTGGCGCTCAAGTATAATTCAGAGGAAGACCTGCTGCCTCACAAAGGCAGCTGGACTGTGACAGTGGAACCTGTAGGACAATAAAGCCTCCAAAGGAAAATTTAGGAAAAACTCAAAATGAGGCTTTCTGACTCTTGCTTTTTCCTGCCTCTTTTCTGGGACAAACACCCCCTCTTTCAAGTAAAAACTGCAAATGGGAAGCTGAATACCTTCAGAAATTATTTTGCAGGTCTAAATTTTTATTTTTCTGTTGGCAAACCACAACATTTCAGAAATCAAGTTATATTTAACCAGTTGCAGAATCCTATTTTGATAAATACCACTATAATAAATACCAGAGAGCTCAAGATAACCAAACTGTTTCTTATTTATTTATTTATTTTAATAAAAAACCTCACATGAGCCATCTTTTCAGATCCGGCCATGAAGATACAATCTTGGTATTTACTATTAAGGCAGTGTCTAATTCTTAAACAGCATTAAAAGCATTTGAACTGGCCATTAAAATTAGATAGTTTTATAATCCTTAATTTACAGATGAGGAAACAGTTGTACTATATTTGAATATCAAAGAGGACTACATTGAAACAATGTTACAGACGCCTCAAAATGCTGTATTTTTTTTGGGGGGTGTGTCATCTCCTAGGGTCTACAATTTTCATAGCATCAGAAAAAAATCAAATGTTGATAATGACCAATTGCTTTTTTCGAAAAGTCATGTCCTAATAAGAGTCTTCTCAATTATGGTTAACTTAGAACATATAAATAATATATGAAACTCTTCCAACTCAGAAAATAACAGATAATCTTCTATCATTGTGACTCAGCACAGAGATTAATGAAATGCTATTGCTTCTACATGCTTTGATGAGCTTTTGTTCACGAGTGTGTTAAGAACTTTGGGAATCATTTCAAGTCCTCTGGGCCTGTGGATTTAATTCCTAATCCCCAAAGGTAACTTAGTGATATGAAAGCAGACGAGGAAAAGTACACTGGGTCAGAACAATAATATTGTAGAGTTTGGTATTTTACAGGCGTCCCAAGAAAAGAGGAAGACGAGAGAAAAGCCAGCTTCATAAGGTGTGCCCGAACCTTGAACTCCTGTTTCATTTATTCATTCTTGTAAGATTCCATGGATTTCCCTAACCCTTCTGAATTGGACGTATTTTGGGTCTGAATCAGGCTTACGATCTTCCCTCAGTGAATAACGAGTGCTTTAGCCAGCATATATACATTTTTTTCCCCCATTGAAAGCATTTTGTTGTTGCTAGTTACTGCTGAGTTGATTCCAACTCATGGTGACCCCGTATGTGCAGAGTAGAACTGCTCCATAGGGTTTTCCAGGCTGTGACCTTTCAGAAGCAGATCACCTGGCCTGTCTTCCAAGGCACCTCTGGGTGGGTCTGAACCGCCAACCTTTCGGTTAGTAGTTGAATGCTTAACCATTCGTGCCATCCAGCGCCCTTGACTGAAAACACACACGTGCGTATGTATCTACCCTACCGGGGTTGCTCCATTTATAAAGCTATTTTTAAAGAGGACTCAGTGAGGGTGGGAGTAAACCAGCAAAGAGAGGTTCAAACGGCAACAGGCACAAAATAAATTCTGGCAAGCTACGTTTCATAGGCAGATATCAAGACATGACCTCTGTGTTCTTCAGATACCTGGGCTGGGCACAGGCTGGAAAGCTGTAAGGCGAAGACCGATAAATATGACGGTGGTGGCCAGTGGTAGCTTAAAATAGCAAAATGAAAAAATAAATCAGTCTTGCTTTTCAAGACTGACTGGGACAGGTGCAATAAGAAAAGCTGTGGCAGGGCAAAGTCTATGTCTTGACTGGAAGAAGACTTTCTGGCGGTTATAAAATAAGATGTAGGGAGTTGGAAAGAGAAGAAAAGGTTTAACTCGATAAATTAATCTTTTTTCTCTTTTTCCAAGAGACTGTCACTTATTTAAAACTACAAGGAATTTTCTGCTGGAAGTGTTAGTAGAGTTTATAACTACCCGTTTATAATTAAAAACGCATGAAAAGAACATGGCTTAATTTAGTGTTAATAGCAAAGTTTAGTCATACGCATTTACTGTTTCAATTTTTGTTATTTTTTAATATATTTATTATTATTTTTAAATGTGAGGTTTAAATCTGATATGATAAAGATCTTTAGGTTTTACACCAATTCAAAACAAAGATCAAGTAAATCTCAAACCTGGAAGCTGATCAGAGTGATGGCTGAGAAAAAAGTACAGGCAGTTTTCAGAACTGGTTGGACTTCCTGACTGAAGGCCTCTCACTTATCTATTTGATATGGCTCAAAAGATGTCTCTACTGGTCCCTACCAGAGCTTCCATGTTGCAAAATCCTACAAAGATTTCGGTATCACACTGAATGTGCTCCTATGGGACATGGGTCCACATGGCAACCAGTGCCTGGAAGAGTCACACATTTCCTGAGGAAGGCTGTAGAGTAATCCCTGCCAAAGCCTCCCTTCTCCTACTCATACTCAAGTAATTAACCAGCTCTAAGATTCAGCCTGTGTCCCAGAAGATTTTCTGTATTTCTAGGAGACCAGCATCTCCAGTGTAATCCTGAGGATGGATCAAAATCTATAAATTATTTATGCTTTAACTAGTATAGTGTTGAAAGAAACATAATAACAATAGTAGCCAATGCTTCTGAGTACTTACTATGTGCTAGGCACTGTGCTAAGAACTTTATAAATATTCATTCATCTAGTCTTCACAACAATCCTACAATGTAAGTACAGAGAAAACCAAGGCACAGAGCAGTTAGGAAACTTGCCCAACGTCACACAGCTGGCAAGCAACAGAGCTGAGATTTGAACCAAGCAAGTCTGGCACAAGAGCCCATACTTTTAGCACTATAGCTTATACTGATAAGCTGGCTGACTGGAATTCCAGATTCAGTTTGGTCTTCCACTCTACAAATGGTGATTCTGACTCAAACTGATCTCTTGGTCACCCACAAAAAGCACTAAATGATTCATTCTTGCTTTCCCTTGAGATGTCTGCTTTAGTTTCAATGAATTTTTCGATTGTTACTTATAAATGGCTAACTTACACAGTGTCATTCCACCTCAAAATTGTATTTTGTACTCCCTTGTTTTAAAGGTAGTTCACTGACTACCTTTAAAACGATTTTGTCCTTTCCCAACCCTCTGGGAAGAAGATAGTTACTGAGTGTGAAAGCCAGCCTTCTGTAGCTATTAGGAAGACAACACTGATTGTTAACACCTTCACAGGAAGGTAGCCGCTCCGTTCTGACTTCTCCCTCTCACAGCAGAGGGACGCTGCAGCTGGGGGACAGGGCTGCTTGGCCTTCTCTCTCCCTTGGGGTGTGGAAAGGCACCCTAGCAACTGAGCTGGAGAGTGCCGGGCTAACGCTGAGAGTCAGAGTCAGGAGGATTCCACACATAAATCAAACAGATGCTTTTTCAAATAAGGAGGCTATAAATTTACCAAAGATATTTGTTAGCACTGTTTTATAGAAAGCCTGCTACAGATAACAGTTGGGTTACTTAGCTTCTCCTTCTATCACAGCCTAGAGTGTAAGACACTGGGGCATCCGCTTCCCTTGGTGGAGTTCGGGAAGTTAACTGAACCTACCACTGGGTACCCAAAGGTGTAAATTATATGGCCTTGCAGTGTTTGAATTTGCCTTATATAAATCAGGCAAACTAATACTGATGTGTATGTGAGGCCTTATTAATCTCTGGATCTAAATGTTGAAGGTCAAATGAGAAGTGAATGCTTACATTTAACAAATTCGATAGTGATAAATATTATTATATCATAGTTATCAGGATACTGACATATGAATGTTAAAAAAGTTAAAAAATGATTCTTCACTGAATAGTCAGAATCCTGTAAAGTTATCCTGTTCTAAAAACCATTTATATCTATGGAGGTTACTTTCAGGAAGTCAATCCAGTTAATCTGATTAATTTACATTTAGATAATTAAAAAAATAAGAATTTTAAAAAGATAAGAACTAGTGTTCTGTAGATATTAGCAAAATCACCAAACCTAAGAACTGTTGAATATATATTAATTAAAAAGATGGATTTCAATTGCTCAACCCTATGAGTAAACTAACAGATAAAAACAAGAAACTGGCAGTTGTATTACGTTCTTGTCCAAAATGTTAATCCACACCATTATGCAAATATGTCTCTATGAAGTTACTAGTAAACACTGGGTTGGCTGTGCCTTCTTCCCTAAGCTATATTTAAAATCCAATACTTCTATTCCAAAGGCATGCAGACCTTCTCAATAGGTCAGTCATCCCATTTTTTTCTCTTTTATCAACAAATACTTGGCTTCAGATTTTTTTAATTCTATAGAATCTGATACAATACTAATTCCACAAGTCATTCAACAACTAAATCTCATTTGAATGAGATTGCAGACATTTATCAATAACACAGATTTCTGGTCCAATAATAAATACCTTGGATGTTGAAGACTAATCAATGATAATAATTGGCATCTACTATAAAACTGAAATTGTAAGAACATGCACACTCTGAGCAGTTGTAAGACCAAAGTAATTTTCGTAAATTATTGAAAAATTTCAGTTCTCATTTGGGAAAGAAAAACGTTCTGGCTATAGAGTCTGGCAACTAATGTAAGATTCTAACTAAATATTTACTAGAATAATTCATAGTAGCACTAGGGACAATATATAACCAAAACGCTTCTGGTCCGTGATTCTGGGTTCTGAACAATTTGTAAGTGTTCAGTTTCTACTCAACCTTCTCATCCGTTAAGAGCTAAAAAATCACATTTTCTGTTCAGCTGTTAATGCTGGGATCCAGATTTAGTTTCCTAAACTTTTCTGTTTTTAATTTTGTTTGATTTTTTTGACTTGTGAATTTCATTTCTGTTTGTGGATAGGAAATGTAAGAGTGGAATGTCAATAAATTTCAATTTAGTTCTGTAACGTCAAGAATGGAAAAATTAAAAAACAGACTGGTTTAAAAAACAAAGCGGCAAGGATGGTGAGACTGTGGCTTGCTTATTTTGGACATGTCATCTGGAAAGACCAATTGCTGGAAAAGGACATCATGTTTGGTAAGGTAGAGGATGAGTGAAAACGAGGGAAATCCTCAATGAGATGTACTGACACAATAGCCACAAGAGTGGACTCAAACATACCAATGGTCATGGAGATGGCCTGGGACCAGCAATGTTTGGTTCTGTCATACATAAGGCTGCCATGAGTTGGAGCCGACTGGATGGCAGCTAACAATACACGTGCCTTGTCAACCATTATGGTTTTTTGTCTAAAGACGTTACTGTTGTAGAGGTCAAAAGGCGGGCCAAGAAATTAGCAAATGATGGTGGAGACCCCTTCCCCTCTGGAGCTCTAAGGGTGGTGGGCCCTTGGCAGTGGCCATGATTACTTTTTAGCCTTCAGCGAATTTGCTACCATGATCAAAAGTAACAGAGGTGCTGGTAAAGGGTCTGGCTTGCTAAAATGTAATGTGAAATCAGATGGTATGGGCTTACCTACCTGAATTATGTCTAAGGTGGGTGGCTGAGTGAATACGGAGGAATTTCTGCCTGGGGAGCCTTGATGTCTCAAGCTACAAATGTGTTAACCCTTACTTTAAACCTCTGATCACTTAGCTGTTATTAAGATGCATGCTATCCCATGCTGCTACCAGAAAGAACCAAAGGGCAGGAAGGAGAAGGAAACGCTTCTTCAAGAACTTACTGAATTGGCTTCTTTTTCCAAAGAAGGGCACGAATCATTGCTTGCTGGATTCTTTGGTATCGCGAGTTCGGACTTCTTAGCTTTTGGCTCAGCTTTGCTTTCTTTGGCAACTGGTTTTGTCACAGATTTATGGGGACTCCACTTGTTGGGTGGTGGCCTGTGCACCAGTGCTGAGGACTGGCTCGATTCCTCACCTTCCTCCACATCTTCTGGAGTGTGCTGGGGTGCGTTCAGCTTCACGTAGTAGCCGTGATACTGAGCATGTAGCTCCCCATTGCTGGGGTTGGGGACGTGGTGGCGGCCAGAGTACTTGGACTGGGGCACGACTGCCCCCATCTCCTTGGTGGGCGCCTTTGACATCAAGGGCTTATTGACAATGGCCGTCACCTGCTCATCAGCCACACTCTTTTTGTCTTGACTGAGTCTTGCCCCTGAGCTGGGGTTTTGCTTCTTCATGGGCTTTGGGGAGGGAGGCTGGGGAGAGTAGCCTAGTTTGGGACTTGGCTCAGGAGACTCTGGGGGTGTCGTGCCTTTGCGATAAAAATGAGGAGATTCCTTTGGTGAAGGTGGCTTTTCCGGTACCTTTTCTTCTGGATTTTCTTTAGCATCTACACCTTCCTGAAATCTCTGTTTGATGTAATCAGGGCCTGCAAAAAAAGAAAAAAAGGCAACAGAAAGGAAAGTGATAAAATGAAAATAAAGGGAAAACGGTCGTACACGATCACTTTACCTATCTATGCTGACAGATATATAGATACACGCACATTTCTTGTTTTCCTAAATCAGATTAATCTTTTTTCTTTTAGGTTTATTTAAACAACGTTTTGATTAGACCTGAGCATATTTCATTCCCCAGTAGAAAATATTATTTATTGCTAAAAAGGTGCTTTTAAAACAGCATATACCATTACTGCTATTACTGTGATAGACCTCAAAGTTAAAAAGTTCTGACTGTCCTGATAAAGGCACTGTTCCTGCCTCCCCGCAGAGCCAGGACGTGAAATTCATGTCAACGGAGCACTGGTGACAGCACCGTAATTGATCTGCTTATTCAGATTCCCTGACGTAACTAAACACCAAACAGATACACTTGAGTATAAAGACAGAAGCTGATTTTTGTGTATTTGATGCTTTAATGAAGTGTCTACACAGCGAGAGGACGGCAGATGCCATGCTTTTAACGAGCCTTCCTCAAAGCGTCATTTAAACCTCCTAACTAGGAACACTCGTGTGGCTTAGGGTGCGCACACAAAACTACTTCCACATAACCCCCCAAAACTGTGCACGCCCGGGCTTCGCGCTGGCCGTGTGTCTGCGGGCATCACAATGGGACAAGGGGGTTGTCTTTGGTTCTGTATTCTCAGGAATTTTTTTTCCTTTTTCTGCACGTTTCAGGGTTGTTTAGAACCATCACACCTCACTACCCCATTGCCGTCGAGTTGATTCCGACTCATAGGGACCCTATACGACAGCGTAGAGGCATAGCTGGTGGATTCAAACTGCCAATCTTTATGGTTAACAGCGGTAGCTCTTGACCACTGCGCCACCAGGGCTCCATAACCATCATATGTTATTTTTATAAAGAGGGAAATTTTCGTTGAAAAAAACGGGTGCATTATTATTTTGTGGGGATATTTGGGGGACAGTGGAGAGTAAAGAAACAAGTGAACAGTGGGCACCACAGGATGAGAGCTTAAGGATATCAGTGGCCCAGAAATGGGGGGAGGTGGGGGGTTTGGGGCTCTCAGAGACAGTGTTCCAAGTCAGTGCCTTCTGCTAGGTACCTCACCTCTTAGGCCTGACCCCTATAACAAGGTCACCTGCATCACTTGGCCCCGACTCCATCCATGGCCACTCTGAATTTCACTAGATAAGGTCAAGGTCACACACAACGCAGTTGACCCTCCTCTCTGCAAACGGGCAGGAGCTGGCCATCTGAGTATACAAGGCAGAGACCTTCTCCATCAGCTTTCTTAGACAGAGCTGACCAGTTCTGTCAATTCCACAGCACTGCCTCTATTCAACTTCCTCCCTCTCTAACCCTTCAACTCAGCCAAACTAACTTCACAGAGTTACAGAGGGGCTCAAGAGTAATTATCCTCAACTGTAAAAAATTCATACTGCCTATTTATACCTGTAATTGCTCTTCCAATGGTGGTCTGAGTAATAATTTATTGTAATCGGACTGCTATTTATTGTACGTGGTCATTTGTCAAAATTTAAAGCCTTAACAACATCTTACAAAGTAGGCATTATTATCCAGATTTTACGGATGTGGAAACAGTAGCTGGAAGACCAAAAGTCACATAGCTTCTGTGTATCCTTTAAGGAAAAATATAAAATATCACGTAATGTATTAAAGCAGAAATGAGAATTCCCGAGTATTCACCATTGCAGGTTGTATGCAGGGCCAAAACCCTAACAGTATTTATTTCTCGCTCTCCATTCTTCAAAAGGTAAATCTGCCCCTCAGGAATTCAAGTTTCCCAAATATGTCAAAATTGCATGTTAACAATTGAGATTTCCTTTCTAAACTTGGTAAGCCCTCCCTGTCCCTGTTTTTTTTTTTTTTTTTTTTAAATTGGCAATTTTCTTTTAAACCCTACATAAAAAATGGCAGTGAGAATTTTTGGCCTAGGGAAAGGTATCACTCGAATGAGGAAAGGCAAATACTAGGACGGACAACTGCAATCATTTATCCTTTGTTTTGGAGTTCTTTCTCGGTGGCCTGGGACACAGCTCCAAGAGAAAGAAGCAGTAGCACAAACAAGTGATGTTTCTCCATCAACAGACTTACCACTACTTTTTAAAACACTCTGAGATCATGTATATTGAACTCTCATGGAGAAGACTATCATTATGCTACTGTAGGCGTACTTTTACAGAGCCCCTCCACCTCTTCTGCGATAAAGCACACTACCTGGTAGAGTATAAGGCAGCGTGTTGTTTATATACTTTCCCCTCACCTCTCCACCCAAAGTTTCATCTGAGTTGGCTTTATCTGTGCTTCACTGTTACTCAACTTTGCAGCATTACGGAAATACCCATGCAGGTATGGTAGAGACGTACTATGCCAAGATAACAGGTCTTGGGGCCAAGGGATTTTGAATCTAAGCCACACAGCAATGATCCAGCTACACAAATTATAAATCACTTTTTGTGTCTTCAATCACAGGCTATAAGGGCACAAAATATTTTGCCAAAAAAACGCATATATATGTGCCTATGTCAAGCACATTAAAACCTAGTGTTTAGCTTAAATATGCACACAGAAAAGAGTGGAAAAAATAATACACTTGGCAAACGTTAATAGTTATATATTCCTAAAACCGGAAGTAAAAGAGTCACTGAATCATGAGGAGTAAAGCTGGCACAAAGCCCATTCGCTTGTTTTGAGGTTGTGACACCATGATGGTGCTTTGGAAGACAGGCCTGGTGATCTGCTTGATAAGGTGAGAAGGTTGCAGCCTTGAAAACCTTATGGAGCGGTTCCACTCTGCACCCGGTGGGTAGCCGTGAGTTGGAATCGATTCAATGGCAACTAACAACAAACCACTGTTACGCATTCAGGAGTGACTGGCTAGGGGAATAAGTGGGCTCTGCAGAGGTGGCGCCTCCACCTGCTGCCTCTCAGATGCCCCTGGGCTTTATTCCCTAATTCTGATTTGTTGTTGTTGTTAGGTGCCGTTGAGTCGATTCCGACTCATAGCGACCCTACAGGCAGAGTAGAACTGCCCCATAGGATTTCCAAGGAGCAGCTGGTGGATTTGAACTGCCAACCTTTGGTTAGCAGCCAAGCTCTTAACCACTGCACCACCGGGGCTCCAAATTTTGATTTAATACACCTGAATTGAACACCTTACTGCTTACCAAATGCTCCAAGTGATTCTGATGTACCCACCTTCAAGTGTTTGAAAGAATGCAAAAATAATATGTTGTCTGCAGGTGGACCTAACTCCAGCTTTATCCAACTACACCCAGTTGAAAATGGTTCCCACATGGCACAGTCCAATGAAGACTGGCCAACTCAACAAGGATATACAGTTAGATTTTCCAGAGTAGGATTAAGTGCTTTTGAAACAAAACATTTAATATAAAGCCGAGGACAGGAGTTTTTCCTGGACTACTTAGATCCTGGAAGGCACCCATTGAGCCTGCCACTTGTTCCGTGTAGAAACGCGTGTCAGCACTGCAATGCGAAAAACATAAAGTTGATGAGATGTGGTCGTTCATTAAAAACATTAGTCAGAATCTGGCCAGGGAGGAAAAACACAAGTGCTGATAGTTGTTGCAGCAGCATTTTCATCTGCTTTTATAGACAGTACCAAAGAATCCTAAGGAATTTTCTTTCCCCTGGGGATTCAAGCTGGGAAGGAGTCAGACACAGGCTGCCACATAATATTAGCAGTATTCAGCACGTGTCATCCACCAACACTCAAAGGTTAACTTGTTACAGTTGGCAAGAATGCTCTGAACAGATACGGCAGACGGATAACAGCAGGTATCCAGCTAGTTCTTCATAGCTGAGCCTCAGTGGGCTGGCTACACGCACAAGGAGCACCAGGAAGATTCTCCAAACGAACATCCACAACGGGCGGTGCCCTCATCAAAAGCTTTGTCGCAGCAGCAGTAGCCATTAGATAGAAATTAGATATTTCCTACGGTGATTGCCGATCAGTGAAACAGGACCAGATTGACAGATTCTAAAAAGATTACATAACGAGTAGTAGGATCAGTTTTATATCCTATGTGGAAAGACTGCTACTTTCATACAGGACTTTATAGCCACATCTGTAACAATACCACAACTTCTGAGAACACAGACATGGAACACCCACTGTGGTGCCTTGTATGCGGCAGGCACTCAAGACGCTTTTGTGAAACTGAATAAATCAGAATGAGCAAGTGGTAAGAACCAGAAAACTCACGAATGGTTAATTTCATGCCAACTAATGGATTACTCAGTTTCTCCTTTTCAACGAAAAAATTTATTCAGAATTCTGGGTTTGGAAGGTGAGCTTAGACTCATCTACTCCAGTACACTTCCATTTTCTTAACCAAAAATATTACATATTAATGATAGGCATAGGCAATTATTTAATGAAAATATGCTCTGATTTCTAAAGACCTCTCATTCATACCAGAAATGCAAGTCTAGTTAACAGCATCCCATAATAAGTGATACTCAATACTTTAATTTTCTCCTTAACTAATCAATGTACAGTGTGTGGGTGAGTGTGTGCAGACTCAAACACAGTTAAACAAAGCTTGTTTAGGATGCTGCCAGGGGAAACAGGCTGGCTGTCTCCCAAGAGGGCTCAAGCGAATGAATGTACCATATTCCAGGGCAGCTTTTCTCCACCTTTTCTCACCAGTGATCAGCTCCCTCCCCAACTGGTAAACAGAAAAATTCTACACCCTACTTATTATCACGTGAAATTAAAAACAAAATAAACACCTTGACCAAAAGGCAACTGAAACAGTGGGACAAAGAGCCACACATCTAGTGTTCTGTACCCAAATTCCCCTTCTTTGGTGATCACTCTTCCAAGGTCTTATTTCTGCCTTGCTGGCTTAGAAACCTAGTTTCATCAGCACTCTGAAGCAGAACCATCCCTTGGGGCAGACTCATTACCAAAGCTCACAA